GGTTTGAAATGACATGAGGCTGAGTACAAAATGTAAACTTGCATTAACTGCTGTTATCAGTCCTGAAGATCTGGATGCATCACGGCTGCATAACTTCCGATGCACTTATTATGAGGTTCAATTACAAAAAGGAATATCACATTAAGGTTGCTGTCTTGTGTGACCTAGCACCTCTGTGATGAGCTCTTTTAACTGTGTGTGTGTGTGTGTGAGTGTGAGAAAGAGAGGACAACTTTACTATACACTCCTGCTTTCACACCAGACAAACTACACAGCCACCTCATCCATAACACACTCACTCTTGCACTGTTGTTTCATCTTCTTGTACTTTTATCTACAAATTTGCATTATTCGCCAGAGAGAGTTGTTCTATCCTGACTGTATTTTTCTAGCGTGTCTGGTCTAGTCTGAAAAAAAAAATACAAAAATGAAAGCAACGAGAGAAGGAAAAGGAGACAGAGAGAGCGATACTGATGCATATTTGATCTTTTATGCTCTTTATCTTGAGTATGAAACCGAATAGATGCACAGGCTGTTTGTGGTTTTGTTGCACACTAACCACATACAAGAGTATTTCTTAACAACCAGACCACCACGCTTTAAAGAGACACCCCTCTCACTGCTCGCTGGCGCAGAGAGCCTGAAATTGCCTGTGTGTGTTTGTGTGTGTGTAAAGGGAAAGGACTGACTGGTTACTAAGCCTCAGTCTGTGACTCACACATCAGCTCATCTCTGTAGTTGAGCTGAATCTAGTCATGGTATTAAATACACATGCAAACAATGATGATCTGTGTGCTTGAGAGTAAAACTACACTGACATTCAAATATTCAAACACACGCACACACAATAAAGACCTGTTCTGCCAGCTCTTGCTTCCTGTTTGCCAATACTGCACTTCCTGTGTTAGTAATGATGATCAGATATTAGGAGTTTGTTTGCTACTCAGTCTGCACCAGGTATTTTCTGTTTTTTGAATTTGAGTTATCAATTGTCCTTGTTTCCTTGTATTAATGTGATTTGCAGGATTTTAAGATTAGATTTATTCCAAAAAAGCTTTTGTTTAGTCTCTTTGTCCCTCCTTTTCTCTCATTCTTTTTACAATATATATATTATTGTAGAAAATTGTTATATTGGAATTTCTGATTAGTGATAGATACCCCTGAGAAACTCTGTACATCCCTGTATACATTGGATTGATTTTAATAACTTTAATGTACTTAAAGTGTGCGTCTAGCTCTAAGAAAATACAAGTATCGGTATCGGATCAGGACTCGGTATCAGCAGATATTCAATATTCAATTTCTTATCGGATCGGGGGCACAAAAAACTTGATTGGGACATCCCTAGTCTGCTCTGGCTCTAGCCAGTGTAGCAGGCCTACAGTAACCCCTAAAGAGGAAGTGTGATGCTTAAAGTCATGCCCATCCCTGGCCCTGAGTGATTTAAGGCTGAAAGTGCTGCAGCTACACTTCCTCTATCAGTCCTGCTCACTTCCTTTGCACATCAACAGGCGGTCCGTGAGCGGCATCCGGTGAAAATAAGCATGCAGTAATGTGGCATTAGAGAAATATCTTCAGATCAGACGTTGAGCCAGAGGTTGGTAAAGGTTGGTCACATAGTACCCATAGCTGGAGGCAGCAGAGACAAAGTACCAAGTGAAAGGTCAGAGTGGGGTAAATAGCAGTGACTACGTCCCCTCCGGAGGGCCTGTAGGCATGGCTGGGCTGAAGGTGTTTTGTCTCTAGGGACGGTTTTGATGGGAACATGCACAGAATACCAATCGGCTGGTGTGTCGTCACAGACTTTGAATGGCAGGGGAGGGAGAGAGTTGTTTTTCCGTCTGCCTCACCAGCTTACACTCTGCTTCCTAAATTATTTTACGACGGGGGGACATTTAAAGAATTATGGGTTTGCTGGCTCAAGAAGTAATTTATGCAAATGCTATAGTGCATGTTGTTGATTAGACCTGGGTGGGCTGCAAGCATCTTGTAATAGCATTGTATGAGTTGGAATGCAAGGGTGACCTTATACGGTGACCTTGGGGCTTTTACTGTAATCATAGATATCAGTCAGAGTAGACTCTAAATCTTATTTGATGTAAACTGCTATGAGACTCTGAAGGATAGGTTTGTCCCTGTGTTTTGATTGTTCAACTGATGAAAATTTTAAATTATGTCTTTTAACAGGTTTTCAGTAGAAATCTCCTGAAAACTCCAGGTTGTAAAAATTAGATATGATATTTGTTTTGTAGGATAAACTCTACAAATCGAGAGACACTAATCACTTTCACACTTGTTCAAAACTGTTAAATCACAAATTTAATTGTTGAACTATATTTACAACGTCTGCTTTTTAAACATCTTTTATTTGTATTGCTACACATAAAAAATCATACATCAGCATTCAGCATCAAAAAATGATGGAATTAGTCTAAAATGACCTTTAAATAGATTACCGTCATTACCGTCAGATCCTGTTCACGCATGTAAAATTCTGTTAATATTGGGTCATAACCACTATAGGGTCATAACACCCCCTTTAGAATCACATAATCAGAAAAGGCCAAATTGTACTCTATTACACTCTGCTGTCTGTGTTATTTGGATGACAAAAAAGATAAGTAAAGTTTTTAGGATGATCTGCTTCTGCAGTCTAACAGCTCTTGTCAATGTCGAAATGACTGAGACACCCAATCAAAGCAAAGAAGGTGGACTTCAAGCGTGGTGGTTCCATTTTAACAATCATGAAAAGTATTCAACTTTTTTTTGTCCATTTTGAATTGAAAATAGCCTATATACTATTACTACTACCTAATTACTATTTGTTATTGAACGTGATGAGACAAGAACAGGGACGGATTATCTCACGGGACTACTGGGGGCACGTGCCCAGGGCACTAGAGCAGAGCCCAGACCGCTCAACGAGAAATCCGAGTGTCGCGCTGCACCACCAAACCCATACACAAATCGGAGTGCCGCTATCACCATTATTATTATTATTATTTGTAAATAGTTAAAATGCATGACTTGCAATAAATTCTAGTAATTTTACTATTTGTTACACATGCTTTTTTTCTTTGTCAACTGTTTATGTTCATTTAAGACATAGCCGACTGTGTTTAGGAGGATATTTTGACATATTTTAGCATGTATTTGTCCGTTCAAGTGCAAAAAGACGTGGAAGATAACTCAGTATCCCACACTATACAGTATGAGAGGCGGCTTTCTTTGTGCACAAGTTTTGGATGTGTGTGCTGCACAGAAAACAGCGCGTGGGTCTTCTTGTGCTTGAATGGTTTTAAGTCATTTTAAAATGCACACAAAGGAATCGATAAGAGGAATCAAAATTTTAATGAGCATCAGAATGTTAGCTTAGATATGTCTTTGTTATATATAAATCCAGTCTTTAGGAAATGTTTTGAAATTGTGAAATTGATTTTAAATAAGTGCACATTTAAGGTACAGAACGAGGGTTGTAAGGTATAGAGGCCTCTTATGTTGGACTGGCCAGCTGATAGGAGTTTTATATTCAGCTTTATATTCAGACAGTCTGTTTCCTGCACTGACACATTCTGCTTTTTTACATCCTGCTGAATATATCAGCACAGCAGCTCGTGTTTTTGTGCTGTCACTTGTGCATGTCTGATGTAGTCTATTCTCTGTACCACAGGACGAGATATGTGCAAGTTGTTTTGGTGTGTGTGTTTTATTTTCATGCTCCAAAATGTGAGTGCTGTGGTATATGCCAACCCTACATGCATACTCTCTTTAGAGAGGGTGTTTGGCTGGAAAGAGGTACCTGACAATTAAGGGAGTCAGAAAGTGGGGAAAGAGAAACCTCAGTCACGGCTGACTTCACCTCATAAATATCCCCTTAAACTGCAGCAAATGAATGTAGGCCACAGGTGTGGGAGTATGTGTGCTGGATCCATGTGCATGTGTTTATGCCTAAGTGTGAGCTTGTTGCTGTGAATACGTGAGTTTTTGTGTATATGTGTATCAGTATAATTGTGTTTTGCAGATATGTGCCTGTTTAGTGACCATCTTAAGGGCACAACTAGTGTGTCATATGCTGATTCTAGACAAGACAAAACATGGGACAAATTTGCCTGCCATTAGTTTTGAGATTATCAATGTTTCATCATTGAAATAAATCATAGATTATCACTTGAATGATTTGAATACAAATCATTGTCCTCTGACCGTAACTTGAATACAGTACATCAAATATTCAATTTAATAACAACAGAGGTATACATTTGCATGTTTTAATGAAACATGACTACTAGACTACTAGAGAGAAGTTTTTTTCTCTCCTAAATATTCCTCTTTTAAAAGTTTTTGTCAACACTGACCAATATGAAACCTTTTTTAAATATCTTGCAAAATCTAAGTCTTCATCCTGAAATGTCAATATTTAACCTTCTATGAGTTCAAAAAGTCGCACAGGCAAGTTTTATAGTGAGTTAAAAATGTTTTTTATATTTTCACAGGTCACAGCCAAGATATGTCAACTAAAAATTAATAATTTTCCTATGGTTAAGCTGAAACAAAAACTATTGTGGTGTGGTGACAATTTAATAGATGGATCTGAAAATCAGTTTGAAACCATCCTGTTGTCTAAATTAATTTATTTTCTTAAACTGAATGCTAGATTGATCAATATTTTTAATAACTATTTCACACATTATTTTGTAACTGTCAGTGTTGACATTTATAGGAAAAAACACATTTTGCGAGAAAATAGAAGCCAGACACTGCACCTGAACATGTTAAACAGATTAAACCATAATAATTCCTGGAAAGATAACCTTTTATTTTTGTAGCTTGTTTTGTCTCAGTACTGAAAAATCGGTGGTAGATAAAACCATTTTATCTTCTTTGTTCTCATATACTGTAAGAAACATTTTCTCACATTGTGTTATTTTAACACACTCAGGTTTGTATCTATTTATTATTTATTAGTATTTTGTTAATCTTGGTTTTAATTTCTCTTTCAGAGGCTCCCTCCTCAGGAATGGCTAAGAATGGGTACTTCTATCAAGAGATGGGTGAGTAGATGTTTGTAGGAGTTTGTTCATGTGTGCTTGTTTGTTCAGCACTTGGCCGGGAGGAGAGGTGTGAAGGTAGAGTTGGGAGTAAAACACAGGCAGAAGGACACTCCTTTCTACAATATTTAAATCATGCCCTCATTTCTGACTTGCAGGAATATTCAAATTGTAACATTTCTGTATTTCTCATCAGCGTCAAAGAGAGACAAGTTTTCTACATCCTGTTCTGCTGCATTAAAGCAAAATCCCAGCAAAAAAAAAGTGTCTTGTGGCTGGATAATGTTGTCAGTAAAATAAAATGCATAAAATTTGTTAGTGCAAGTAAAGCTTGTGGCATGTTCAGATACCTCAAGTATTTTCTTATTATGCCATTTCCGAAATCACTATTTATGTCATCTCTCTCTCTTAGTTCAATTCAAGGGGCTCTTGTTTATACGTAGCCTATGTAATTATAACAAAGTATGGGGGGTATTTTCAATAAATTAGTTAATTTGTTCATGAATAGGCTTGCAGCGAATCAAACACTTATGAATATGATCAACCACGGTGCTTTGAGCTTGAAAGAGCGAGCGAGAAAAGGGAAAAAAGGGGAGCGCCGTCGTCGGGGAGAGGAATATCCTCTCGCCCGCTCACCGTAGGTCCAAGGCGGTAGAGTCAATGAGCACACATGGATTAACAGCCCCCTCTCCTCTTCAGCTTTACATAGAGAATAATAGAGGGAAGGATTAGTGAATAAATGAATAGATGAAGAGAAAGATATGGAACCGATAGCCACTCACATGCCACATTCAGCCAGAGAACCGAGAACAATAACGAGCTGCCATGTGTGGATAAATCACAGCTTCAGCCACACTCTGGCTACACTGTCACATCTGTGGGGTATTAAACCCTAAGAACACTCTGTATAACAGAAAAAAGAGAGAAATTAATGGATTATTGAAGCCTTGTTGTTTTTGCATTGTAACTGTCTTATTGGTGCTGAAATATCAATTCAGATGTAAACGAATTAATTAAATGTACAGTACAGCATATTAAATATGAATAATATATTACAATATAGAATATAGTATGCTGTGCTACACTGTTATCCTGTAAAATTTACAGAAGAAAAAAAAAAGGTTGCTTTGGTTGTCAGAAATTCACCATAAACATACAGTGACAATATTCAAGTATGTATGTTAAACAACTTATACCCGTATATTTCATTAAGTGATATAATGTTAATATACCAAGCTACTTCAAGTACCAAATTCTACTTTTTACCTTAAATTGTACCAATAACTACCATAATAAAATAGAAATCCACATGATGAATCAGAGTTTATCATTTTAACAAAAATGTAAAAAACAAACAAATTATTTGTATAAAATATAATAATATGTGATTTTGGGGATGTCTTTTTACTGTTTTTCACAGTAAATTATAGAGTAATTCAGGTTTTACTTTCAAAATGCATACATTTGACAGTATTTTACAATTACATATGTGATGTCAATCTGTATATAGACTGAGGATGTTGTGTGTGTGTGTGTGTGTATGTGTGTGTGTGTCTGTATAAAAACATATGTGTTAAAAAATACATATAGATTGAGGCTGTGCGTGTGTGTATGTGTGTGTGTGTGTGAGAGAGAGAGAGAGAGAGAGAGAGAGAGAGAGAGAGAGAGAGAGAGAGAGAGAGAGAGAGTGTGTGTCTGTGTTTGTCAGAGTAAAAAAATATAATATGTGTTTAAAAGTGTATATAGATTGAGGCTGTTGTGTGTGTGTGTCTCCCTCTTAGAGCAGAGGGAGAGAGAAGAACATGAGGAGGGGAGCGAGGAGCGAGAGGAGGGCCAGGACTCTCCCATCCCATCAGGAGATGACATTCATCTCTACGGCAACCTGACACACCAAGGAGGAACAGGTCAGTGAATTTGTGTGTTTGTGAGCGAGTTCAGGGTGGGATGGCAGTTTAGACCCAGAGCTGTTGATTAGCTCTGGAGATGCTCAGGTTAGCAGGTCAGCTGTCGTCACGGCAACAGTCTCAGGTGTGCTGTGATTATGTCGAGGCACCCCCCCGCCCCCCCCCCCCCCACACACACACACACACACACGCGGTGACAGGTCACCTGTTGTCACTCAAAACCACACAAGTCTTCTCTTTCTGTCTTCAGGCTGTGCAGGAAAATGTAATCAAAGGTGACAATTGGAAAAAAGATCCATTTTAATTTACTCATATGCAACCCAAATAATTGCTATGAAAACCCTGAGAAACATAATTTCAAGTCTGCAAGGAAAAATTGAAATTTTTTTAAAATCATAATTTCGATGTATCTTTGTGATTTTTTTTTTTCTGTTTTCTGTTTTGTTTTTGTTTTTTGTATATAAATGTTTCTGTTTATTGATTTAAAGGGGTGGTTGATTATGATTTCACTTTTTTTATTTAGTTAGTGTGTAATGTTGCTGTTTAAACATAAACAACATCTGCAACGTTACAATGCTCAAAGTTCAAAGCAAACAAAGATATTTGCTTTTAAAGAAATCGTTTTTTAAGGACTACAACAAACGGCTGGTAGGGACTACACGACATTCCTCCCCGGTAAGTGACATCACTAACCCTAAAATTTACATAAACCCCTCCCCGGTAACGCGATTTATAGATTATCATAACAGAATATGCTAATCAATGACTTGAAGATACTACACAAAGTACATAAATTCATCAACTAACCATTCAGAAATGTCCTGTTGCATTCTACATGTTGTCACTTCTTCTTGAGTCTCTCCATTATTGTCTGACTCCGGTTTGAACATAAACATTGACATTTTCAGTGCATGTCTGTGTGAGGTACAAGGACACAAACTGTTGTAGCTCCGCCCCCTGTGCTGGGAGCAGCAGCTCATTTGCATTTAAAGGGACAGACACAAAAACAGTGCGTTTTTGCTCACCCTCAAAAAGTGGCAATTTTAACATGCTATATAAAAATATCTGTGGGGTATTTTGAGCTAAAACTTCACATACACACTCTGGGGACATCAAAGACTTATTTTACATCTTGTGAAAAGGGCATTATACCACCCCTTTAAGTCTTATTTTAAATCAGGTGGGATGCCAGCAGTACTGGAACCACCAACTGACATTTTATCCAGAAAGTTGCCAATACATTTGTCTAAATCCATAATGAAGGTTCACCAGGCAGCACAACTAAAAATGTATTTACATCAGGGGTGCCCAATCCTGTTCCTGGAGATCTACCTATACCTGCAGAGTTCAGATCAAACCCTGACCCAACACAAGTGCTTCTGAAGAACTTAATTAGCTGATTCAGTTGTGTTTGATCAGGGTTGGAGCTGAACTTTGCATGAAGGTATAGATCTCCTGGAACAGGATTGGGCACCCCTGATTTACAGTATTTAACAAAGGTCAAAATAAATGAGGAGAAATTTTATACCACTGTCAAAGACATGGGATTACAATTCTCAGTGGACTGAATTAGCAAAAAAAAAAAAAAAAAACAGTAGGCAATTTGCTGGGTAATTTTTACAGCAGTGTGAGAGAGAAAAAACACACAGAAAGGATTAAAATCACAAAATGTGTCTGTGAAATACACATTTAGCTAACATCCTCAGATAAAAGTAGTCTTGTCTGAAACCCATACATTGAATGTGAGCTGCATCTGAAAAAGGTGTGTTTACACAAACTTTAAAGTACTTAAAGGATTAGGTCACCCAAAAATTCTGCCCTTAATTACTCACCCTCATGTTGTAATTTGTGTTCCGAAGATGAACGAAAGTCTTATGGGCTTGGAACAACATGAGGGTGATTAATTACTGACAGAATTTTAACATTTTTCTGACAGAAAATTTTTGGGCAAATTAACCCTTTAAGCACCAATTAATCATATGCTCGAAGGTTGATTGTTGAAATTTATATATGTATATAAATATAGCATAAAATGTAAACATCATTTTACCCATGTTTTACCCAAATATCACCTCCTATTCAACTTCACCTTTCCTAATGAACAACAAAAGTGTACAACTCTGGTTAGCTGATCACAAATCATTTACATATTAGAAGATTTATAGGTGCAGTAGCAAAAATATACTGTTTAATAAGCACCAGAAAGAGGCTGGAAAATAGCCATGTAAAACTAGAACTGTTTTTGGTGCAAGAAAGCTCAACTAACATTATAATTGGACTTAAAGTAGAAAAATATGTAACAATATAGCCATTAAAGATTTTTGATTAATTTACTGTTTTGGAAACAGAAAACATTAAACTTTATAATTTCCTATGGATGATGTAACAAATCTATTGTTAGGGTTGCTATTTGTCCTAACGGGCTGCTGCTGTTGAAAGTGAGCACTGTTTCAGTGATATCAGTAGACAGGTGACCCAGAATCAGACAAGGATGTTCTCTCTCTGTTTACTCAAATACAGTTAGTTCTGTTTTAAATTCTCTTTTCTGCGTAAGTGACTCCTGCTGTGCATTTGGTGGGCTCACATTAGGATGGGTGGGGTTTGTTCACACGTTGTCTCATCCGGTCTGATGTTCTGTCATCCTCAGAGCACAAGCCGTCAGCACTTGTCTAGATTAAAACCAAATTCCACTCCTCTGACACTGCTAAAAGCTTGCTAAGATGTATGTGTGTGTTTGTGTGTGTGTGTGTGTGTGTGTGTGTGTGTGTGTGTGTGTGTGTGTGTGTGTGTGTGTGTGTGTGTGTGTGTGTGTGCGTGTGTGTTTGAATATTTTTAAACCATGGCCTCCAAACATTTCGTTTTAAGTTATAATTCCCCTGATTTCAGCAATTGGCTGGACCAAACACCCAGGCACGTTATTTAGCAAACTGCTGGGTTTTTAATGCTGCTTGATTGCTGGGGGTGAGGCAGAGGTGAAATAATAACACACTACAAAAATAAAACAAATATTACCTAATATGAATTCAAATTATGTCCAAACCATTGGTTTTCCTAAAGTAACAAGGTCCCACACCAATCAATAGAGTTTTAGAAGGAGGTGTCATCTCTTTGGCCTCCCTTGAGCCTGTTGCGTTATTGTTGAAGTCTTATAGCCAGGGTTTCCACAGGGCATTAAAAGTCATTAAATGGATTTTGCGAAAATTAAGGCCTTAAATAGCATTAAAAAGCATAAAATTTTAATCCTACAGGCATTAAAAATTTAGATATAGTTTTGAAGAAAATGTTATACTATCAATTTATTTGAATATAGCCTTCATAATTGATCATTTTTATTTGCTGTCACAAAATATGTACGTAGTGTGATAAACACGCGGAACAAGTTTGGTAATTGCTTCCGGCCGGAGCAAAATTGCCGTGATGCGGAGGTGACGCGGGCATTTTGTACAGCGGTGGATAGGAATAAAACTAGACCAGATAAAATGGGAGGGTGCAAATTCCATTAGAAGTGGATATTTAACGCAATTAATGCAGCATCCGTTCATTTTTGTCATCCTTTGGCAAGCTTTACATTATATGACCCCGCTCTTATTCATGCAAATACTTTGAACCTGAACTTGGCTTGAACAAACAGTAACACACACAATTATGCCAAAATGTCTGTTTTGTCGAGTATCCTCATAACATAAGAGCAGTCTTGAGTTAAATAAAGTCTTAAATAAACGTGAAGAGTTGTGAGAGAATGAGGCGCGTGTGAGATCCCCGTCTCTGTCAACAGTGGCTCGTCTTAAAGGGACAGTAGCCACTAATTCTGTCTGTCAGTAAAGTTAATCAAAGAACAAAGGAAACCAAGAAAATCACTAACTGCTCTTGACTGAAGAACTTTTGTAGCTTTAATAAGGATTAGTCCAGGATTAGAAACCCTGTATAGCATACCGTAAATGTGATGGGAGAACAGTGAAATACATCCTTCTTAGCAGCACTTCTATTTTTTCACAAAATCTTTTTGCCGGAATGGGTGGAAATGGTAGCCTGGATGCCAGCCCGAACCCCGCCCACAACATTTTTTGGTCGGGAAGTTCGGTCTGGACTCGATCCATTGAGGAGTAATTATGATATGATCCGTCAAAAAATGTTCGGGCCAATCAAATTGCCAGGGCGAGCTTTATCCGATGATGGACAGATGATCTGCAGTTACGTAATCCTCACGTTATCAAAGAGCGCTTGGGTTGAACTGGTTTCCCTCAAAGATGACAGCAGCTGGAGAATTGAGATGTATAGATTCCGCTATCGCGTCTGTTGTAAAAGAAATCGACAGGGCATTATTTTTTAAATACGAAAAGAAAACTGCAATAAAGGCATTTGTCGATCGTCAAGATGTGTTTGCCGTCCTTCCTTCAGGATTCGGAAAAAGTTTAATTTATCAGCTGGCTCCGATGGTCGCTAAGAATATGGGATGCAATGAAAAGCCTGTTGTCGTTGTGGTTTCTCATTTGGTCGCACTCATGGAGGACCAAGTAAAAGAAGCTACCGAAATGGGCATCAGGGCGATGCAACTCATGTCAAAGCCATCTCTACATCAAACAATGGTGACGCTTTGTTATACTGTACTCGCACACCATACCCATACTGGTAATCACTGTACCCCTTATGAGCGGTTTATTTTTAAAATATAAATAATTAGATGATGTTACTCAATTCAGTTTTTTTTTGCCAGACTCATGTCCAAAACACCACGCAAGACAGAACAAATAAACAAGACAAAGTACAAGTACAAGAATTACTCATCAATTTGTATTTAAATCATCATTAAAACATCATTTTGGCTCCCGGTCTCCTTTCTCTGAAGACTCAAATGAACATGCTTCTTCAGCCTGGTGTCTTTCGTCGTCTCTCCATTTATTAAAATCAGTCAAGTCGTGCTCCAACCCTGTTATAAAATTGAGACAGGTCAGACAAATGCGAGTAGATTTGTTGGCTTTACTGTCGAGATCTAATCCTAA